CATTCCTGCAGTCACCAAAGAAAAAAAATCGGGAAATTGAGGAGAAGAATAAAAATCATAACCTCTGCATCGATTTTTTTTATGTTCACCTTCGGTTTTGTGATGTGAGGAGGACAATAAGGGTACATCATCGTCTCAAAATTTGGACGCCACCATGTCGCCACACATTCACCTATCTGTAAACAGGTAAAACACCGAAAGAAAACAACGATGTAGATCTCGATCACAGACACGAGAATTCCCGAGACAATTCTAGACAAATCCCTTTATCTGGTTATCGATCCCTAATCACCCGCCACATATGTCTTTGTATTTATCGAACAAATTTAAAGAAGACGAATCATAGCTACCAGAAATCTGCTCATTACCAGACAGAAGTGGAAACCAGAATGGTACCTTCCAATCAGGCGCAAGAGTGGGAGAGTTAGCTCCAAGCTTACTGGTCAGCTTTCTTTTCAAGCCCTCGATTTCTGCCGCAAAAACACCAAAATTTGTATCACAATAACAAAATTTATAACATAACAGTGGGGAGTCTATTAGGAAGGGTAGATACCATTTTCTCCTGGCTTCAATCGTCCACCGGGAAGTTTACAGAATGTGTTACCGATTTGCAGGAGAAGTATATGAGGATGGTTGTGCTCTTGTACCTGCCAACATGAACCAGAATGGATTTCACTGTTAAGAGGGGCCGAAACAATCTGTAATCAAATAAGGTGATAAACCATACATATTATCAGTTAATTGCTGAAATGACTGACAAACTAAGCCACAGTTTAAGTTCAAAACATATATTTCTGTCAGATTATGACATAGAAACAATCATATCTTATGTCTCGACACGGCTAAAATCTATCTACAAGGAGAGTGTGAGTCCCTCTCTTGTACATTTTTAAGAGACCCTTGCAGGGTAAACACCAGTATATCATATCTGTGGATTTCTACTCAAATTCATCGAACCAGAACAAATAGTGGGTTTGTTTGTTCAAAATTCAAATCATTTCATTTGGAAGATAAGTGAATATGTGCAAAAAAAGTGATTCAACCAGTACAAAATTGACTTAGAAAAGATTCCAGATGCTACAGAAATCGATATGGAGTCATCACACATGTTCAACCTAAGATACAACTACCCATGAGCCGGATGACATCCATTAGGACTCGCAAGCCACAACAACAAGTAAACTCACAGCTACGAACACCGAGGAAAAATGGCATACCAGTAGAATCCCTTCAACGCTCGTCCTCATGCCCTCCTTCATGTAGCTGCAGATTCCAGAAATGAGTCTCAACACTAAGCTAGAAACCCGTTTACTCGAATCCAAGCGTGAGATTTTGAAGATAAACTTAGCAATTACCTTGGCTGCATTCACTCGAAATCGAAAACATGACACTTAAGCTTATTCTAAATAACCTACGAAATTTGTTGCTTAATTGAGCCGGAAAACATTACAACTGTGGAATTAAGCGCCAACCAGAAATTGTAAAGAAATCGAGCGAGGAGACAAGCGAAATCCAGAATAGAAGAGCTACGCATCGCCGGTCACGAGTTTCCTCGGCAGATTAATGAAAACTGAAGACAAATTACCTCTAATATCCCAAAATTTGGAACTAAATAAGCGAGATCAAGATTCGCTCTTGCGCCTAAGAATCCAACAGAAGAACAAAGAGCCCTAGGGTTTTGTTCTGACATCATTTTCCGACCATCAACTACGAAAAGGAAGGAAATAACACAGAAACCGAGAAGAGGAGAAGAATCGTACTTGACTTTCATACGAGCGAGTCGATCGGCGACGGAAGTGTCCTTCTCCAGTTTCGGCTCCTTGGTTCCGAAGCTGTAATTCGACAAAGGGTACGTGTTTACCACCGGAGAAAACACCATCTCTCTCTCTCGGAAGAACAATGTTTGAATCTCACCGTCTTTCTCTATTTCGCTCGGCGGCGGAGACGACAGAAAGTGACGGAGGCGGAGAAACAAACGAATTACTGTGATGTTTTATAGAATTACTGCCTGTGACCAAACTTTTATCACCGACAAATCAGACTGTTCGATTTTGATTTCGGCCTCATGGGTTTTGTTAGAATCCTTAGATATTTGGGCTGGGCTTTTCTATTGTTTACAAAATTAATGATTTTATATTATTTTTTTAAAATTCGTGACTTTTTAGACGATTATTCATTTTAACACAAAAATAAATAAATAAAATGTCCGAGTTATGTGGAATAATAATTTAAATAAAAACTATTGATATAATATATTCAAATTTTGAATCCTATCCTTCAATTCAATAAGTAATGTATAATATTTCAAAAAAAATTATGAATTCAATATAGAATTAGAGTTTGGATCTTAGTGAGTGATGCATTAGAAGTCATATGTTTTTGTTTTCTGAATACAAAATTAATGTAACAATTATCATAATAAAATCATCGGTTTGATTTGATTAGAGTGTATATATGCGTTAGTATTTGCTCAAATGAAGACATTGTACCTTTAAGCAAAAGCAATGTATATAAAATGGGCCTTGAGGCCCATTTACATTGTCTTGGGCCGGACTACTGGTCTCGGCTTAAATAGATTTCATGTCTCTCATCTGTCGTCGGGGAATATTACAAAAATACCTTTAAATGTCGATTTTACTTACATGACATACCCTTCAAAAAAAAACCTTCAACCAAAAACTGTAAAAGAATGAAAAGACATCGTTACCCCTTTTAAAAAATACACGTGTCAACATCTGAAGGAGAAAGACCAAAAGTTGGGAAGTTACTAAATTAAAAAAATTTGAAAAATCAAACAGTTTTTTTGTCCCTTTTCGACAGACACTTTCATTTCTTCATAGTGTCGTTTTTTCTTCTTCATTTTCTCTTCACTCTATGATTTTTCTGTGCGATATATCTTTCTGTGCGAGTTCGTCAAACTCGTCAAATTTGCACGAAGAATGGCTTCGTCTTCATCAACTTCGGCCCCCTCTTCGGACCCTACTTGCGAAGACCTCCAGGTATAGTTTTTTAATTCCGCAAAAATCAAATTTTTTAGGGTTTCGGGTATACATTGAGATTCGGTTTTAGATTTTCTATTAAGTTTTCGTTAAGAATAGGGTTTGAAATAAAAATTTGAAAAACTATGGTTTGAATGACAAATTGTCACTGAAATATCGAAATAGGGTTTTCGGATTGGGTGAGAAACAGTGTTTTGTGAAAAAGACGGATAGAAATCGAGTCACGATGATATTGTCGACAGTCGGATGCACTAAAACATAGATTAATGGTCATGCTAGATGTTAGTTAAACTTAGCGCACCCGTCAAACAAGTCAAACTATTCGAGTCTCAAAAATGTTCAAACTCGTCAAACAAGTCGGAGTTTGACGAGTTTGACGTGTTTGACGAGTTTGACGAGTTTGATAATGAGTGTTAAATTTGTTTTTGCAGGTACCTTTTGTGTATGATTTTACGGACATTCATATGGCTCTTAAGATCACGACGAAATATTATCCATATCAGACTATTAGATCTCTTAAAAATGCCTTGACGGATGAAGAATTTACATATTTCCAAAAAGAATCTCAGTTTCGGCATATTTTCCATCTTGGATGTAAGGACACATTGAAGATGGTTCCGGCATCAGTCCTCTTACATCGGGCACTAAAATTGGAAGGAGAAGTGAAACAACTATGGTTTGTTCTGAATGACGTGCCCATCAGATATTCGATCACCAAGTATGCGATTATCTGCGACCTAAATTGTGAAAAGTATCCACAAGACTGGGCTAAATGCTCTCCTTGTAACAAAAACACGCTCAATACGTCATAATAGACCCTATACACAACTTTGAACCATCGGAATATCATTTTGACCACAACTTGACCGCGTTGACTCGTCAAACACGTCAAACTCGTCAAACTCTCTGATTTGACGAATTTATCAATTGCGAACCACGAAAATGTTAATAAGCACCTCGTATAACAAATTTGATAAGTAAATAATAATCACAGCTATCTAAATTTAGTACCTTATTTTGTGTAGCAATGCATGTTTCTCCAAACGAAACCCTAATGTTCTATTACACTTTATGTTACACATTGGTGTAGGGTAGAATTTATCATTTTCTCAGATGCTCTCCTTATAACAAAAACACGCTCAATACGTCATAATAGACCATTTACACAACTTTGAACCATCGGAATGTCATTTTGACCACAGGTTGACCGCGTTGACTCGTCAAACACGTCAAACACGTCAAACTCTCTGATTTGGCGAATTTATCAATTGCGAACCACGAAAATATTAATAAGCACCTCGTATAACAAATTTAATAAGTAAATAATAATCGCAGCTATCTAAATTTAGTACCTTATTTTGTGTAGCAATGCATGTTCCCCCAAA